GCTGCAGCAGCAACATGGCCAAAGCGCAGTGCAGCATAAAGTGTTAAATTGGATTAATCCAGAAGATTTACGCTGCGGGTGATATCAACATGGTAACGTAGCAACAGCAAAGGCAGGCGGCAACATGTTGGTGTTGCTGCTGTTGTTGCTGCTGCTGCTGCTGCTGCATCAGCCAGCAGCAACACTTGAGCGGAGTCAGCAATTTTATTAAAACCGGACGCGTACTTCAACACCACCGGAAATGCAACAATAACAACAACAACAGTATGTAGGAGCAGCGGCGGTGAAAAGTGTGTCAATGTGTGTTGATGATGGTGTTGCATGTTGCTGTTGCTGCTGCTGCTGCACGTCAACGACCATGCAAATTTTAATTCCAAATTGGGATTACTGAGGCGGCCGCAACGAACAACAATCGAGACCCAGCCCGAGTTGTTCCGAGTTCTGAGCTAGTTGCAATTGCAATAACAAGCTGCAACAGCAGCAACAACAAGCGGCGGTAATAATGCCTCGACAGCAGCAACATCAAGCGGCAGAGCGGCAGATCGGCATTTCTGCCAGCGCGTTGATTATCCCAATCAGCAACACTTTACCAGCGTAAATCTATTTAATTTGCCAATGGCCGGCCACACGGCCCCTCTGCAGTCCCCCCTTGAGACCCTCCACCCCGGCGGTCCGTCGTAAAACCACAAATCAGCTGTTTCGACCGACGTAGCTCTTGTTAAATGTAATTGAACCTGTTCTTAAAGTTTTGTTTTGTAATTTATTATCGGCGCATGAGAGTTGCAAGCCGAAAAGCGGAGAGTTGGGAGCTTACGATATAGCTTATAGCTCCACGATCATCATCAGCAGCAGCAGCAGCAGCCGGAGTGATACTCATGTTGATGATGATGATGATGATGATTATTGAGCGGTGAGGCATGCGAAGATCGCGCGCACTCTTTTGCCAAGATCGTGCCTGACGCGTAATTGATTATTACGAGAGTGCAACACCACCAGCAACCTCACATCTCCTTCACTCCACTGGCCCAGGCCCAGGCCACAAACAGGAACGAACAGAAAATGCCAGCGTAATGATGTATTAGTTAAACTTGGCCAACCGGTTCGCATTTCGGCCATGAAAAACGGTTTAGAATTAGGAGCCGTGATTACATACTTCTGCTGCTGCCCCATGCCAACGAATTCGAGTGCGTTGAAATTGAAAAGAAGTGGGCATCATGTTGGATAGTTGCTGTTGCTGTTGCTGTTGCTGTTGCCATGGCTCTTCATGTTGCTGATGCTGCTGGTGGGGAATCAGATTGGAGTGCAGTTTTAACAGCTTTAGGAATGTTTTCGCAAGAACTTATGTACTGTTTTATAGAGTGAAATTTAAATGGCCAAAATAAAGGGATAATCGTTCTTACAGCTAACTAAATTCCTTGCAAAACCTTTGTAATGTCTCCCAAAAACTCAACTGATTTTCCTTATTTTCCCGCAACATTTTCAATGCCAACACTCCCAGCAGCTGGGCCATATATATTCGCTTCTGGTGGACTTGGTATCTAATGGCATTGGCTCAATTGACAGCACAAAAAGCTATGCAGGGCTATGCCGACAACGAGGGCCATAACTCATAAACTACAGCACATACCAAATACCAAGGGTCTACTATAGTGGCGACTGACTGTGCTGTGCTGTGCTGTGCTGTGTGCCGCCGCCACACGAAAAACTCCAATTTTAATTGCTCGACATTAAACGATCGACAACGACAACAACAACAACAGCACAAATCGGAACTTGGGCTTTGGATATAGCTTATAGAGGCTATAGCCGAGCTATACCAACCGCAGCAGTGCCATAAAATATGCACGTTTCGTTTGTTTGCCGTTGGTTTGCATATGTCCCCCATCCACAACCCCCCAAACCCCACTCCTCATCTGAAAACCCATCCAAGTACCCGGCAATATGGTCTGCGGATCGAAACTGAGACTGAGACCAAAGCCGCGCGCCGGAGCAGACAGCATTTAGCGTACGATTTGGCGGCGCGAAAAAGATAAACTCATAAATTATGGCATTGAATGTCACTTCAGCCACCGACAATAGCAACAACGACAAACTCGAGCCAGGATGCGAGAAGGAGAGAGGAACGGGATGCGGTATAGGGGATACGGTAACCGGGAACTGGAACCGAAACCAAGCCAGCCAGCGGTTGGGGCAGCCGGCGATAATGAAGCCCATTTTAAAGTCACTACCATTCAATGCGATTTGATTTACAATCCCATTTCGATTATAATCGATGATGATGTGTGTGCGCGCTTCGGCCGAGCCATGAACTTGCATATAAATACCAATCTGTGTCTTTGCCCGTCCTCAGACTGCGGTTCCAGGGTAGCTTTTGGGTAGTCCAGGAGCGAGGCGTTGGATGGAACTGAGAGCCCGGGGAATGCTAAGCAGAGCGGTTCCGGGGGTCGTTGGTCGGCGGTCTCTAGCGGTTTTCCAAGGAAATCGAAAAGCTGCCGCAGCAACGAGCAGGAGTTCAATCTTGTCTGCCCGCAGGCCACAGGCAACAGGCGCTGCACAGTGGGTCTTAATGGGCTAAAAGTGTATCAATGGGTTAAAAAGTTGGTAATAACTGATAGGGGAACTATTTCCTAGGATATTTTAAGAAGTTTATTAAGTAATCATTGCAAGGTTATCATTGTTATTAACCAAATTTCATATATCTTAGCACCACTGTACATTGACGTCTGGCTGTCTTGTCCCTGCTTCTTACCTGTTGGCGCAATTGAACTTGAATACGTTTTTGAAGCGGCGTTTTAGTTTAGTTAGCCCGCCAACTTGTCAGACAAACGAATGCGGAGCTAACGAACCCACAACCACCCCACACTTACCCCCCACCCAGACCAAGCTATCCACCAAACCAAGCCATCTGCAGACCCAGCCGATTCGATGATCATTGTCGCATCCGCCACGATGGTGGCAATTGTTTTGATGGCCGCTGATAACTGCAGCGGCGGGGGGCATGCCGCTGGGGACAACGGACCCCAAAAAACAAAAAAAAGTAAACAAAACTCGCGACAAAACGAAGTTCAATACAATGGAACCTTATATACATTTTGTCACCAGTCTGGCCGCAGTTCTTTATGGGCTTTTAATTGAAGCTGAGACCATTAACATTGGCCAAGCTGTTCCACAGCCCACGCTATGGGGCTTAAATTTATTACAACTTAATTGTTAATGTTAACGTTCTCTGTGTATACTGGCTTGTATCTGCTGTTCAGCTTACGAATATGTCTTCATTTTTGGCGTAACGCCCACTCAATAAAGGCCCTCAATGAGTGCGGGGCGGTTCTCGATGTTGGACGTGACTTAACTTTCAGATAGAACTATATAGCTCCACAGGGTCTGGGTTATTGGGAGTAATTTGCTGAATAGGAGTTTGAATATTTTGAACGGTTTTCAGATATATGGTTAGAACTATGTAAATCAGTTAATAAATTGGTATATGCTGTTAGTTTAAATCCATATTACGTAGTTAACAAAGCAGAAGATTGTTTTTTTGCTTACTTTTTTAACAACATTTCTCAAAAGTAAGTAAGCAATTTGTTACCCCATTTGTCCTCTTACAACGCCCACGAATTTTTCTTATTAGGCAAAGAAAGCTTCTTCTAGATTCTCCTTAGATGGCAAAACTTGCAGAAGATTTGCAAAAGACTTGCTGAAGATTTGCTTCCCAGGCAATTAGCTCAAATGCAGTGTGCGACTGTGATATAGTCGCCCACTTAGTAGGCCCGCTAGCGAAATGGCCTAAAATATGGCTGCCAACTAATGTCCATAATTTCATGAGCAATTTTGGTAAGCCAACGGTTGAGGAGGAGCCAGATCCAGAGGTTGTCGGGGAGAATACAGGGGAAAGGTAAAGAGCTCGCATGGCCATGGACGATGTTGCTGGCAAAGTGCAGTGATAAATCAGATTGTCACTTTTGTATATTTGCACCAACTGACGACGCCGTCTCCCTTTTCGCAAACTGAGTTGCAGTTGCATGCATGCCAGAGCAGGCTTTTGATGCGTTGTTAAACAGCAGAGGGCGAAAATATATGATTTAAGTATTTAATTTTAAAAAAATATAGCAAACAAAGTAACAACTTATTGTATATAATGTGTAAGTACAATGTATAGTTCCTTAATAAGGTTTACTTTTATCGTAAAAGTAGGAAAAACTTAGCCATTTGTTAAGAAAATCAAAGACAGTTTTTTCCTATCGGCAGTGTCTTGTTTTCCTAAGATTTGTTTCATTTTTTTTTGATTTTTCAATATTATATTTCATAAGTAATACTATAATTTTGATCACTATTAACATCGCATGCAACAGTCTGCCTCAAAATGCATTCGAGAAATTGAAGGGAGCAAAAAGCGGGAGAACAGGAATGCATTTCACTTTGCCAAGGGGCAACGAGTCATAATTATTATTATTTTGATTATTGCACCTGAAAGATGACATTATTAACATCGCTAATGTGGCGAAACAGGGCTGTATATATAGATATATATGTATAAGCACACTTGACTTAATGACTCACTGAGAGAAATTCAAGTATGCAAATTAATGTTTCCTTTTTTGTGGTCCACATTTTAGAAATTAAAAACAATAAGTGGTGGCCACTTACTAAAGTAGTTTCCTATTGTCATTATGCTGCTGACAGCAAAGGTTAAACTAAAAAAATGAGAATTAAAACTGTTAAATAAAACAAGAACAAAGCAGCTTAAAAGGTTAAACTTTGTTGTAAATTCATTCATTAGCAAATGTTGGTTGTTTTCCACTTTTGTGCTGTTAATTGCCACTTTTTAGGTGAGATTTTAGCAAATAGTAATGATTATTGTTGAATAAAAATCAAAATTTATAACTTTATAATGGGTTGATATTTGTTTTTGTAATTATTTTTAAGAATCTACATTTTATACCTTTCTACACAGAGAAAAACATGATGAAAAGTCTAGGAAAAAAGATCTCAAATTCTAGACTAAAAAAGAAATTAAAACATAATTTTATTAACTTAAAACTTTTATGTTAATAAATGTTATATAAAATAGTTTCCCCATTCCGCTACTGAGAAACCACAACCTCTTTCCGCTGCCGCTCCGATACCTGCCTAAGGTGCATCTTGGGCAGTTCTTCTATTTGACTTGAGGAATCTATGTGCCCGGTATCTGCCTAAGGTGCATCTTGGGCAGATCTTCTATTTGACTTGAGGAATCTATGTGCCCCGTATCTGCCTAAGATGCATCTTGGGCAGTTCTTCTATTTGACTTGAGGAATCTATGTGCCCGGTGTCTGCCTAAGGTCCATCTTGGGCAGCTCTTCTATTTTACTTGAGGAATCTATGTGTCCCAAAAACTTCGAAGGCTGGGAGCTGTCCATCGAGGTGGCCTCTTTCCAACAGGGACTCTTCAGCTGATCCATGAACTTCAGATGCCTCTCCGCACAATAGGGCTCCACGATGATGTAATGAGGATCATCCGTCAGAGGTCGGTCGTACATTTGCAGACGCGATGAGATGGCCAATTCCTGAATCCTTTTGATAAACTCCGGCCTACTCTTGGCCAACATGTTAAGGGCCTCCATGTTATATACCTCATCCATGACCACGAGATCCCCCGAAAGCGACTGACCCGTACAGATACTGCCTTCAGGATCAGCAAAGATGGCCTGGATGTACCGCAGCAAATGCCAGATGTGATGTTGACCCTTCCGCCACTCCTTGATGAAGGGCGTTAGATCGAGGGTTCTGTTCTGCGGACAAATATGTGGATGAAGGATCACCGTAGTGAAGACCACCGTGGGCAGGGAGACATCGTCTGGAAAACTATCTGGCAGCAGAATGGAGAAACGGAACACGCTGCCCGCATAGATTCCACTGTGCACGAAGATCACTCCAAACCAGTGGAGGCCACTGGAGTAACTTGGAATGGCATAGATGTTCTTCAGCTCCTCCTTAACCAGATTGTACTCGGCCAAGATCTGGTAGCCCTGTTTGATGAGGGCCATCCTGGGGTTGATTTCTGTGGTGACCCACATGGTTGGTTATTGCACGAGATGGTAGCTGTAGCTCTTCCAAAGATGTAAGCGGTGGAAGCTTGGGACTTGGAAGAGCTTGTGGAATCTAGCGGACTGTGTAGGTTTTGGAGGGTAACAAAGGTCGAAAAATAAAGAGAATTTTATAAACTACATATTGTGACAAGAAATTCTTAACTTAACAAGACATATTTTACCGAAAAGTTTTAAAACTAAGACTTATATAAAAAGTTAGCAAAAAGTACTTGACATTCTCTTTAAAACGCTGCTTCTCTTTGGTGTTGGATTTTCCACATTTCTGCCTAGTCTTAATTATTAAAGTAATTTTTAAAAAATATCTGCTTTCAGTGTCTTTTTTGGCGAATAATGCGTTAACTTACATTTATGCGGCATGTTGACTTGCGGCAAAACAAGATACAAGCGAGAAACGGGAATTGTCCGCAGAGACCTCAGAAAACTATGTATGTCCAGTCACAACTACATAAGGCCACGATATCAGGAGAAGGAGAAGGAGAGGGGGATAGAGAGGAGGGAATTACCTGGCGATGGGACTGGAACTGGGTATCTGGAACTGGTACTCAGCGGCATATTCAATCATGTCAAGTGTAATAATTTTGCGAATAGCAGATACACGCAGAAACCAAGCCCGCAGCAGCCTTGGGGAGTTGGGGATTTGAAGTTAAAGCTGGGCAAATGGAGAAGAAGCTGAAGATCGGGAGGAGCTCAAGATCTGGAGAGACGGGACATAGAAGGCATTGCATGTGTGAGTGTGGATTTTTGATTTATTGTCGCCACGATGTTCTGATGTACGGTTCTTTCACGCACTGGCAACATAATGTGGCATTATAATGTCGCATGTTCTGGCCGTGTGAGCTGGTGTTCGGCTCTGCGTCCGTGTGATTTGTTATGAATTTATTATGTGACGGAAGTGGCTGTGGCAAGGCTTTGAATTTGGCTTTTAGCTTTTGGTTATGGCTTTGGCTTTAGCCAACTGGTCAAACAGGCAAAAATGTTTGCATGCCGCCGGCCGAAGCTGCTAATTGGGGGAAATTCAGCTTTCCTCTTAAAGAAATCGCTTTTGGCAGAACAGCAAAATAAGTTTTGATATTTTTTTTGGCACCTTAACACGATGATTGGTTTACGCTGGAAGAGGGTATTATGGTTTTTGGATCAAGAAGTAGAATTTATTAAATTTATTTGGTTTAAGCTTGTTTTAAGTCTTGCTAATAAGCTAACGAACGAGGTTAGGATTTTGGGAGAAGTTTTTTCTGTACTAAAATCAGAAGGGAAACTTTCATAAGCAAGGATAACTTAAATAAGATATATAAATATCGTTAAAAGATCCAAATTTTATAGGTAAGTAGGCAATCTATTTCCTTTATTTTGATATATTAATATAAAACTTGATATTCATATCTCAAAAATCTTTCAAAGTAGGTAACCTTTAGTCATAAATATTTAAAAAGAGTATCTCAACTTCAATCCTTGAACATAAACATTCTCCCCTCTCTCTTATTATTTTTTCACATTTTATTTATTTTGGCAAACATATCCAAAAGCCTCAGTTACCGAGACAGACAGACAATGACGCTTCCTTGATAAGTTCAGCCCCAGAAAAGGGAATGAACCGAATGTATAAACGTGCCACACGATAAGGGAATTGCCAAAAAAAAAAAAAAAAAAAAATGAACGGAAATAAAATTTGGTGTTGCGGCGGTGCAACTCATTAAAAATTATACCGCGATATGAGGCGATATGATACGTTATGATTTGCGACCTGCAAGTTTTGGGAACCTTCAGACTTTCTTTATTTCTTTTGACTGGAATGGGAATGAGATCCGATCCAGGCTGGTGGTTAACGCCAGTTGTCAGGGGGCATGACATGGGTGCAACACCCAGGCGTGGAAAGGGATTGGCGGCAAGACATATTTTCACCTACAATGTCAATGGGTTGCACTGAGAGAAATAAATGGTAATAAGTACTCTTAAGATTTTGGTTTTCTGTCCATAATAAATATGCTTATAGTAGCTTAAATAAGTTTAAAGTTGAGTTAAGGTATAAGCTTCTTAAATCCCCTTTTCTCTCAGTGCACTTAACCCATGTCAGCGTGTTTGGCCCCAGGCAATTGCTAATATGTGGCCCGATTTTTCAGGGATTGCACCTGTGGGGGATAGGGATACCACTGGCTGGCTGTCACCTGGTCCAGGTCGACGTCCAGGTCCAAGTCCAGCATTCAATTTCGGATTTCATTCCAGTTGGAACTCAAACTCATATGCGGGCAGCAATTTCTCCGCCTTGCTGCCTGTCCTTCTTATCAGCTTTCTTCATTTATGTTGCCCCCTTTTTGCCTTTTCGCAGCGAACTTGCCACAGAGAACGAGCAGAGAACCCAGCCCGATTTTGAGGTCCGGCATTTGTAATACGGTGGCATATAACACTTAAGTGCCCGTTGTTGTTTTATAAGATAAACTCTTGCGGGGCCCACATATGGCCACTTTTGGCGGGGCCCTCGGATAACGCGATGCCAATTTCATTTACTGGCACTTTCATTAACCAACCCAGAACCTCTTACCAAAAAAAGAACCAAAAAAACTGCATCAAAGTTGAATAAAATAAACGAATTGGCGTGTTTTAAAGTTCTCGCTGAAAGTTGCGGGTTGGCCACAAAATGTTTGCTCTTCCCGCCGTGGAGGGAGGGATTTCTGGGAAATGTACTCAAATGAAATGGGTTTGTATTTCAGATTCAGCGATTGCTATCAATCAGTTATATATGGCAGAAAGCTCGAGGGTGTAGTCAACGGGAAACACTGGAAACTGTGTAAAAAAAAAAAATATTATTTTTGAACGAAGTTGAAGTTTGGGAACTGATCTTTTTCCGCTTTTGATTACTGAAATATACGTTCTGGAATAATGAAAGTTACTCTTAATGATTTAAGTTTGGTTAAAAATGCAATAAAACAAAGATATAGTATACTTTAGAATATCCATCATAAGCTTAAAACATCAAAGCTTCTCTGGAAGCAATCTGGCCAAACTTAAAGTGAACTATAAACTTTATAACCAGAAACAATTTGTTTTGTGAAAACCAAGAATGTTCTTCCTGAAATCAGATAAAACTATATATTGGCTTCCTTTTTGACTTTCTAAAGCTTTATAATACCCCTGAAATCAGAGAACTGAAAACTTTCCAAGCAGTATGAATTATGACTTTGAGTGCGTCTAATCTTTATTGCCTGTTGCAGCATACTTTCAGGCGGTGTCATAAATAGTCGCCCCAACTTATAGCCAATATGTGTGGAAATTTGAATTATTTTTGCACATTTATTGATTTATGCGAAAAGTGTCCAATGTGGTGGTAGAATAAAAAGAAGAAAAAGCAAAAGAAGGCATTGGCCAAATCGCAGACTCTGTGTGTGGCTTATTCAAATTCAAATTAGATTATATGCAAACACCGGCCAACTCTTTCACTTGCCGTTCTTTATTATTATATAGGAATGCCGGGGTCCAGGCCGAAAAGAGCAAAAACAGCAGCGAACGACTGCGAACCGGCATTCTACTAATATTTGCATAATCGCAGGCAGCTCAAACGAAGCTCAGCTCAACTGGCCAACAACATGCGGCAAAGCAATTATTTCTTTAAAAATAAATTGCATGCACAATTGGTAGCAATAGCAATTGCAGCAGCAGCAGCATCAGCAGCAGCAGCATCAGCAGCAGCAGCAGCAGCAGCAGCAGCGGCAGCAGGAGTAACAAAATACCCATCGAGGACCACCAGAGAATGGATCCACAGAACGAATCGCAGTCGGAATATCTGGCCGAAACCAGACGACCACGACGAATTTGGTCAAAACCTCTTTTTATTTTGCGGCGGCGTCCAAGGAGAAGAAGGCGGCCTGAGCGGAGGGGCGTGGCAGCACAGCACAGCTCAGCTTAGCTCGTTTTCAGCGATTTGTGTGTGTACGCCTCATTCGTTTATTTGCATATCGATTTGGAGTTTTTAGTCCGCCAGCTCTGCCGTCGAGGATTTCCCCCTAAAAAAATACTTGGCTTGGATTTTATTTGCCCACCAAACAGTTGCATAATTGCCCTGCATCCCTAGTCTTTTGGCCAAGCATTTTGGCCCCGAGGCTTTTCTGGGCTCATAAATACAAAACCTCTTCTCGTTCTCTCAAGTGCAAATTCAATTTTTATGAGACACTTGTGTAATCTTTAGAAGCAATCACTCGATGGTTGACATAATGCCAGCCGATCTGCTCGATAAGCACGTGCCTTTGGCTTAGTTCCATCAACTAAGCTCTTGGCTAAGCGGAATAGTCTTAATTTCGCTTGAAAGACCTGAATTCTTGGAAAAAGTTTTCCGGCAGTCACGTAGCCATAACGCGTTGCCAGGTCTATTGTTGTTGTTGTTGCTGTTGCTGCTGGGAAATTGAAAAGTTTTGTGGCCTCAAATTGCGCCCATCAAACTCGGCATATGGGTTAGGAGTCCTTTGTTTGGAAGTTTTAAGTAGCTTTAATATTAAGAAATATTTTAGGAAATAAACAGCTTAAAGTGTAAAGAAAATCATATTTTTGAGACCTTTTCTTTATACCTTTTTAAATATTTTTCTGATATTTTACCTTTTCAATCTTTAAATATTGTATTAAATATCAATCTAAGTTTTATTTTAATGCATAATTTAGCTTATATTATATTTATATATATTTTTGCCTCAATAAACCTCTCCCTAAAACTGTACTGCCCAAAAATTCGCTTTGCTAGAACAGACTTTTCAGACTTTTCCAACTGCCTCGGGAAATAATTAAAATTCTCACAAAATCTCCCTGCTGGTATTTTCTTTCGATTTTTTTGTTTAATTTTTGCATTTGCCTTGTTAGCTCTACATAGTAGTAAGCCCTTTGACCAGTCAACTCTGAAAAGGGTGAAGCCCTCCAAGTCAGTCACTCTCATTATGTCCGCTCGCTTTATCATGTTCCTTGTTGACATTCGCGCGGACACAAATGAAGCAATTTTCCTGACATGCAAAACGTGCAACAGTTGCGACTAGCAATGGAAAATGGAAATGGAAAATGGGGAATGGTAATGGGAATTGGTATTGGAATTGGAGCAACTGTTGCTGCAGTTAATTTTCGTATATTTAATTCGCTTTA